ATAATTACTTTTTAATATCTAATTAAGATAAAAAAAATTAATAACACCGTTTTTTTACGGGAATAACACCAAAATTAAGTCAATGAAAGGTGAAAATTTAACACAAAGAAAAAACAGAGAAATGAAAGCTGAAATTTTACATCATATACAATACACACAACAAGAAGAGGTTATGCACATTATGCAAACCTCCCTTCCCCTCTTTCTGTCTCTCTCTCCCCCATTTCACCTTCCTCTTTTGACAGTCATTTATTAGATTCCTCTGCTCTTTTGCTTTCCCATTGGATTGTACTGATTCCCAGCTAAATTGCCCATCTCAAAATCTGCAATTCTTGTTGATTTTTTCCTTTTTTTTTTCTTTGATTTTTGGCCTTTGGACTGTAAAGACATACATCTCTTCTGGGTTTTTTTGGCTCTTGCTTAAATGAGCAAACTTGCTTTCTGGGCTTGTTGCAGAAGAGCCTTTGATATCCAGTTGAATATGCCAGAGAAGGCTTGAGAAGAACAATCATATTTTAAAGAAAATTTTCTCTTTTTTCAGTTTCTTGAATATATCTTGTTATTTTCCATTTTCTTCTCCCTTTCTGCTTGCCGAATTTTATCTCAATTGATATTTCTTCACCTGAGGTTAAGGGATAGACATGGGCAAGCAAGGGCCTTGCTATCATTGTGGAGTTACAAGTGAGTTCTTGTTTCTCCTTTTACTTTTTGGATTCAAAGAAAAAAAAAAAAAGATTTGAGGTCTTCAAATTCTTTTTTGTTCAACCCCTATTTTTATGTAATTAATTGGTGTTTGGTTTTGTCTGTTCCTATGAATAATTCTATGCTGGAAATGGCTAACCGTATGCAAAAGGGAAGAGATTAAATGGGCAAAGATTAAAAATTTAGAATATCTGATGTCCTTGGGATTAGACTGGTTTGAGCTTGAGTCTTAATTGATTGAATTGTTTTTAACATTATTCATGACCACAATCTTTATCTCTTGGGATGGTGGTTAGTTCTCTGATTCTTTTGAAAGCTTCAACACATCTGACCAATGGAAATTGGGATCAAATTATATCGGGCAATTACAGTGTTGAGTACTCGGCAATTGCAGATTTTACATTAAAATGGTTTTGCACTCCCAAGTAGCAAGTCAAACCACAGTCCTCTTTGATAAATTATGGTCTCAATCGAAAAAAATTCGATGACAACGCCATTGTTTGAGTTCCTTTATGTCTTCTTGCTTATTTTTCTCTTCCATTGGATGAGTTCTCTCAAGTTTAATGCTTTAATGAAGTATTCTCTTATTGGTTTCTAAACAGACTTTTGGTGCTTAGATAAGTAGTGTCAGTGTTTAGTGAGTGAGCCCCAGTTCAAATGAAATATAATTTGATAAAACTGCTGCTGAGTCTTCTGTTTGTCACCAGTTCAGTCTTGTAGTATTTCCTCGCTACTACTGGCACTAATGGTTTTTAGCCTTGCTGTATTTAATTCCCATTATTTCAGTTGCAATGACGCAATGCTCATGCTTGCTGAATTGGTTTCAAGACCTGCTCTCAGATTGAATACTTAAAAGCAAGACATTGATGTTAAATTAATTTCTTAAGAATGACAATATCTTTTGACTTTTTTAATTCAACCACTGCCCTTGGCCACCTTATGCTCTTGCAAGTTTTTGCTGTTTTCATTTGGTGTTGTTGATGGGGGCTTCCTCTTGTTCTGTCCTGTAGGCTTATGTTATGTGTATTGTTATGACCATAATTGATAAGCTGAGTCATTATTTTCTTTGCTTTTTCTTGACAGCATTTTCCAATATCAGATGAGCATGCTTTCTTTATGACTCTATGTTTATAAACTTTGTCTGTATAGAATGGGGAAACTTCTGTTATAATATTCATTTTCTTCATTTTTCAATAATTTGTGTGCAATGTGTCTTTAATCTTGGTTAGTTGCTAACTATAAGCTTTACATTAGGCACTCCTCTTTGGCGCAATGGACCTCCTGAGAAGCCGGTTCTGTGTAATGCTTGTGGGTCTCGATGGAGGACAAAGGGGACACTTGCAAACTATACTCCACTTCATGCCCGAATTGAACCTGATGATTATGAGGATCATAGGACTCCTAGGGTGAAGAGCATATCTTTAAACAAGAACAAGGAGGTGAAAATGCCCAAAAGAAAGCCAAATTATGATAGTGTGGTAGTCCCACCCGAGTACAACCAGGGTTTTCGTAAAGCTGTCGATGAAGATACTAGTAATAGATCGAGTTCTGGGTCTGCCATATCTAATTCTGAAAGCTGTGCACAATTTGGTGGTGCAGATGCAAGTGACTTGACAGGTTGGACATGCTGCAATTAACCTTTCTAAATGCTGTTCTGTCTGCACAGGATGATTCAAATCCTTTGTCAGTGGACAGAAGGGTGATATATGTTCATATAATAATCAATGGAAAAATCTTGGTCCATATGCCAATCTCCAAAGGATACACAGGACTTCAACTAGATGAGATAATCCCCATTGTTTATCAACAGTTCATCTGATGATGCACTAATGCTATTTCTTTATCTGTGGATGGGAACATCATTTTTCAAAATGTGATATACATCCAATCTTTCTCTTGGATTGGTGCATGTTGATGATTTAAGCTTAATACTCATATTTCTGTCTCTATTATCAGCTTATTTTCTTACTGGAGATACTGGCTCTACTTTAGAAAGCTGTATGTAAACTTTTGAATGTTTGGAATGCTGACTCTAATTTTATTCTTATTGTTTCTCCTCCAGGTCCAGTCCAATCTAATGTGTGGGAGTCAATGGTACCTTCTAGGAAGAGGACCTGTGTAAATCGTCCAAAGCAATCTTCTGTTGAGAAGCTTACAAAAGATTTATACACCATTTTACATGAACAACAGTCTTCATACTTCTCTGGATCTTCTGAAGAGGATTTGCTTTTTGGGAGTGAAACACCTATGGTTTCTGTTGAGATTGGACATGGAAGTGTTCTAATCAGACATCCAAGTTCAATTGCTCGAGATGAGGAGTCAGAAGCTAGTTCTCTTTCTGTTGAAAACAAACAATACTTATTGAGTGAGGCTTATTCACATTCTTCAGGCCTCCTTGTACATAATGATAGCAAGGATTTAAAAGTTTCTGGTCGTGGAACTGAAAAGGCTAAGAACCCAAGTCAAGAAATGCAGCAAGAGCAACTTAAGAGGTAACTCCCTCCTATAAAATTTAAGAAGCTTCAAAACATTGTGCTTGGTTATTTATAAAGATTTTAGCATGGGTGGTTGGTTTTTAATCTGAGACATGATGTACCATGGCCATGCCTATGGCTAAAAGGTTTACATGGTAAGTAACTAGTGTCCCAATGACTCATGAATCATATTCTAAGCTGGTACGTGGGGGGAATTCTCTGCTCTTCCTGGGATACAAATATGTATGAAAATTATTGACTGGCAGGTAAAAGTAATAGAGACACTTGGAAAATCTTTACTCAGAAGTTGGTGCAGAAATTGGAAAGTGGTACTATCTATCACCTTGCTAATATCTCTTTTCTCTGGAATTTTGCAGGGACAAGGCCCAACATGAAAAAATACAAATTCTGGGAAGTCATAATTCAACCCTATGTAATATAGACTTAAATGTAAGCTCCATTCTGACCCTCCTTCTTCTTATTTATTAGGGTTTGCTTGCATATGAAGTTTTCATCATCTGTACTTTGGACTTGAGTGCAAGGACCAGCATATTGCATAATGCATACACCTGTTTAGCTGGTAGTTTTTTCATAAATGCTTCACATGGTTCTTCCATTTTTTTTTTTTTAAAATACTAGGTTAGTGTGAATGGTTCCATGAATGTCTGGTTACTCAATATTCTTCCAAAGAAGGTTCACTATTCAGACTTAAAGTTTTCTAGGTTGTCTCTGCAATTCTTTCCTCATTCCAAATACTCCTGCTGTGGTGGGGTAACCTGAATCTTGAACATATTGCACCATTCTTGGTGTGTCTACTTTAGTATCTTGCTCCCTAGCAGGGCATGTTGTGCTATAATGTTTACATGTGGTACAGGACATTCTTAACCTTGAAGAGTTTGTGGAACACTTTACAAATGAGGAACAGCAGCAATTGCTGAAGCTTCTATCTCCACCTGATACAGCCAAACTCCCTGATAGGTATCTTTCTCCTTCATGTTTTAATCGTGCAGTTTGTGATTGGCCATGGAGAATGAGTAAGGTGATCATAATTTTTTATGCTATGTGATCTCTGGAAAGAATGAGCTTAGCCCAGCAGCAAAAGGAAATGGTTGGCAGTGCAGATTCATGAGTGAAGGCTGCTTAGTTATTATTATTTCTCATGGCCAAAATATATTGGGTTATTGGATATTTGCTTTTTCACCTGCAGCCTCAAAAGCATGTTTGACAGCCTTCAATTCAAGGAGAATTTAACTTACTTTCAGAAGCTACTTGAGGAGGGGGTCTTTGATCTCTCTTTTGTTAGGGTGAGTACAGAAGACTTTTGAGACTTTGAAAAGGCTTGTCTTATGCAGCTTGGCAAAATCCCAGTTTGAACTGGTTTCTGTAGGACATGGATGTTTAATTGTATTAGCTGTGATTTCTCTAGATAAAGAAATCCAATGGTTTTTCTGCTTGGTAGCATCTCTCTTAGCTACTTATTAGCATCTGTTTGTGGTCCCAGAAATCTGAAAGCAATAGTGGAGGATCTGTTGTTTCTAGAGGACCAAGTGTTGCTGGATCAAATAATGTGGCAATTATCAAGAGAGCACGTGAAAACAAAAGTCAGAGTTTTCCAGGTTAGTAACTATTTCTTTTCAACTCTTACTTTTAACAAGTAGAACTTGTTAAACTAAATCTGTTAGCTGTAAATATGCTGGAAGGAGTTAGCTAGTCCTTTTGAATTCCCAAGTGGAAAAATCCCAACTTAGATTATCTGATGAAAAAGAAATGAAATGAAAATCATAGCAGATATTATCATATCTAACAAAGAGAGGCCTTGAATAGCCATATGGGGTTGTAGTAGCTAATGATGCATGTTTTAATAAGAGTGTTGAATGGACTAATCTTTCCCAATCGTGACTGTATTTGTGGGTGTTGTCCTGTGGCTACTTTGTGTAAATATAACTTCCAATCATAGTTGCCATGCTTTTTTGGGACATTGGAGTAGGTGCAAACAGAGGTAAGCACATCCATGTTTTGTTATTTCTTGCCCATACCAACAGCAACTGTAAAATTAGAATATGCTCAGAATTATTATAATGTTTCTAGTCTTGGAATCCTGGTGAAACATATTCATGATTCACATTTTTACTGAATTGTTATACTGTATGGTTTAACATTGTTATGACTCATGGATATTTTTCTCAAATGTTTTCGTCCTCATTTCAGAAGCAAAGACTCTGAAGAGTCCCAAAAGGCCTGTCATGAAGGCTACTTATGAAAACAAAGAACTCTTAGATAATGATGGCTCTTGCTTTAGTCCTAGAAGTTTGTTTGCTTTGCCTCCTGATGGTAGCACCCTCATGCTGGATTCTTTCCATTTTGCTGATGAAAGTTCTGATCAAGACCTGCTACTTGATGTGCCATCCAACAGCTCATTCCCAGAGGCGGAGCTCCTTCACCCACTTTCAAGTTCTGGACAACAGGCAAGCACTAGTAGTAGCTCAGCATACCCGCATAATGTTCATCCCTAGCAATGTTTCCTTAAAAATGTAAGGCTCCTCCTGCCAGATCTTGAGGGCTGGATCTGCATAATTTGCGTCCAAACACAAAAATGGCTGTGAATGAGGTTTTATGGTTTCTCTTTTTCCCCTTGATCTTTTCAAACTTGCATTGCTAAAAGGATATAAGCTTCAGGGGTGTCTTCCCTTTTTCTTTTCTTTTTTTTTTTTTTTGTATAGGAAGGTTAGCAGGTTGTAATATATAACTCGAAAAATGCAGAAAAGGTTGCAATCTCCAGAGTTATGTTTGCACATGTAGATTTTGCCAAGCAAAATAACTTCACACATCCTTTCAATGCCTTGCTTTCTATTATTTATTTACTTTGATTTTGCTAGCCGGTGAAAAATGGAAGGAATGATAAAAGGAATATGGAAATAACTGTAAACTGTAGAGATGAGAACTCGAGAAGGTGTCTTACATATGAAAAAACCATTTTACACAAAAATACTTGCGAGGGCATAAACAAACAATTCAGTACATGTATCCAAATGGGACTTCAACCAGTGACCACCCAGGCACTCACCCAATCTCAACCTATATGAGATAAGGAAATGTGGTTGGACACAAATACAATGCACCTGTCTACATCTTTTAAAGGCAGCAACAAAAACCTAAGGACATACCAAATGCAATACTTCATGTGATGGGATGATAGTGCGCCTAACAGAACAATTTTCTTGGCTAAGGTAGGAAAAAACCTTTGCTTACTGGAATGACCCACCAAAGCGGATTGCAACCTTTTCAAGAATAACCCATATAATAATTCAGCACAAGATAGTGTTTTGTGACTATACTTTGATGCAAAAGTAAGAAACACTACAAATTTCCCTTGATTGCAGGGGAGAAAGATAAGAAAAGCCACCACCTTTCACCTGTTTTTCTTCTTTGACAATCCATTTTTCAGCTCCAGACGCTAATGACTTTATTGCAAAGAGCATATAATTCAACAGACTTTAATTGAAGCACAACCAAACTCAATCAAGTATCCACAAGTTCCAAAGCATCAAACAGACAAACATCTACCTATGCAGGTTGCTATAGGAATTAAAAAGTCGTAAACAAAAATCCTTTAACCAAAAGTCAACTCTTCCACCATACAGATTAAAGAACATGCAAGACCCAGCACTACTTCTTGCCTCAAGTTTTCTATAGCTCAAATATTCTCTCCAGTAGATTGAAACTGGCACCATATCAATTTTCTTCTCCCTCCCTCTACTCCAAAATACAATCATGCCAACATGAACCTCCAAAAGACCATTTTCAAAACTATTTCTCTTTACTTGAAGATCAAGTCTCTCTTGTGTGGCCACCAGCCAGGCTGAGTAAATATTGTGCCACCACGCATCATCATAACCTCCATGAGACTGTGATGTTTCAGATTTTGATTGTACATATCATCATCATTCTTTGCCAATGCCTTCAACACATCCACAAAGAGAAATTTGGGCGGAGTTCTTCTCATGTAAAACATCCGAATGAGAATATCTGATACGTTTTCAGCAGTCCCCTCTGTCACAGTCATCAGCACTATGGCAGCTACTGCGGTAGTGGCAGCAACAGCCCCCTCTTTCACAGCTTTTGATGGCAATATGCGTTTTCCCTTGGCTTTCTTCTCCACTTGGCACAATCTAGAAAATTATAATAATTTGCACCAGAGTACTTAGACTTCCCCTTTGACAATGACCATTTTTCCATCTAACAACTTATTTAAAAATGTAAATGTATTACTTTTAATTTTAATTAATTTTCATATATTTTTATTAATTTTAATTAATAATTTATATATTTTTAAATAATAATAGACAAAAAAAAAAAAAAAAAAAAAAAACACTAAAGTAACAGCACAGGCTGCGCCACACAACAATTTCAAAGGAACCTTAAACTTGTTAATGTCCTCCATGCTCATCTTCTCCCCATCAGAAGTTCCTTTGATACAACTCTCTATATTTCCTATCCTCAGACTCAGGATTGATAACTTCAGTTGAAAACTCAAAAGTCCTCTTTTGGTAGGAATACATTCACCAATTTCATGGTTTTGCTGAAGAATTTGAAGCTCCAATGTCTCAAAACAATTCCTAATTTCATCCGCTACATTCCCAGAAGAACGAACCCTTAAAACCAGACTAACATTCTTGGACTTCTATATCTCGGAAAATTTCCACAATTCCTCCCTGCCGTTATGAATACCTATTTTTATCTGAAGTCCCAGAAGATTGAGACAATCATGGACTTCAATTTTTTGGTAGATTTTGATAATTCCTCTTTGGGTTTCTCTCCGACAGTTGCTACACGTACATTCGGCGTCGGGACTGTGGAAGAAGCGACAGCGACGTAAGAGGGGTTCCTGGGAGCACGACAAATCACAAAGCTCCACTATAGAACCAAAAGGATCACCTTTCTTCCATGGTGATGGCGGTTTCCAAAGTTGAAATAAGTGATTATTAATATCTTTTCCTCCATCCTTTTCCCGTCTCTTAATTTTGATTCATCGGAAAGTTTTCCCGCCATCTTCCCGCCGTGCTGATCCTGAAATGGTCGGTTTGATCGCCGCCATATCGGCAGCGTTTTTTCTAACCCTTTTTTGGGATGATGTTATTATAAAAACCATCTTCTCTATTTAACGATTTTTATCTTGTTGTATACAATCTAACTGTTTTTGGTTTTACCATTAATATATAAAATGAGTCGGTAAATAACTCTTTCAGTTTAATTAGAAATCTTGATTTTAAGTTTTAAAAATGTAATTTTATTAAAACTTGTGAAGAGAAATTTTCTCACTTATTGGATCTTACCCGACTCAAATCTAGATTAATTGATAATCTAGTGAGTTTCAGAATATCGAATGGTTCAAACAAAAAAAATTAATATATATGAACACGCGCCCCTTTGCAACCATTAATTTTGGATCTAACTACCAAGCTCCTAAAAATCAGAAACTTGTTAGCTACATTTTTTTAGTTGAGTGCTTAAAGGTTTAAAACATGATTTTGTCAAAAATAAAAGAGAAATACATGGGGTTACAATTAATAAAAAAAAAATACTATACAATTTGAATTGTATTAAAATAAATAATTTAAACTGTTAGATAAAAATAGTCTCTAATATAACAACCATCTCTCCATCCAACTATTTTTTTTACATTAACTAATAAATTATACAAACTCTCATCTTTTTAAACTTTTTCTCATTAATTTCAAATTTCAAATTTTAAATCTTGAAAATAACACTTAAAATTTTAATTACTATAAAAAATTTAAGAGACTCTAACTATTTTTATTTTATATAGTATAATGCATTTGTACTGAAAAACAAAATTCTCATAATTGATTTCACACTATAGTTAATTATGATTTAAGTCAAAAGACAAGATAATAAATAAAATTATATGTTAAGTTTTTGAATTAATTTCATATTCATTATTGAGTTTTTAAATTTTAATTGATGTATATAAGTCTTTGAACTTTATAATTTGAGTAATTTAACCCTTATTCTTATAATAGTTAAAGAATTAAAGGCTAAATTACTCATATCATAGAATTTAAGGGCTTATATGTACCAATTAAAGTTTGAGAGTTTAATAACGAATCTGAAATTAGTTCAGGGACTTGACATATAGTTTTGCCAAAACAATATTATATATCCTAGTAAGGACAAAAAGAAAAAGTCATCGACGCTATTTATGGGAAAAAATAAAAAATCGCCAGAAGGGAAGAATTAATTAATTTACAGTACGACGACGTTTAAAAAGGTAGAGAAAAACTGTAGCCTGCCACTTCTGTACTCAGCCGCGAAAGTTCTCTTGCGAACCGGACGGCGAAACCGTCTTCTTCTTCCTCCATTTTAGGATCTTGCTTCAGAGACTCAATCTTCACCTCTACTCTGTATATGTTAGACTCAGCAATCGCCTCTACTACTTCACTCAATCATCTTGTCAAGTTGTGTTTGCTCTCCACGAAAGTTTTCGGGGTAAATTTCAATTTAATTAGTTTTTTTTTTTCGAAATTTTAATTATCGGTGAATCTGATAATCATGCATTTTCGCTCTTTTTTTTTTTTGTTTTTGGTATTTTGAAATCGAGGAATTTCAGGCTTGTTATGGCTCCAAATCCTGTTTGGTGCTCGAGAAACTTGAAGGGAAAGGGAAGGATGTGAAAGGTATTCCATTATAATCAGTTTTGGGTTCGCATGCCTTGTTATATTTGTATTTTATTTTATTTTTTTTTAATTTAATCAGGAGAGTTTGGATTTTAGTTGCACTCACAAAGAGTTAGGTTATTAGTATTTGTTGAATCTTTTAGCCAATTTGTGTTTTGATATTAATTTTGGTTTTTAGGTTTTATTTGAAGGATTCAATTTCTGTAATACGTGAATTGGAATGGGGGTTGTGGATACTATGTTGCAGAAAGAGTCTTGGGTTTCTTTCAGCAATGGTAGTCATTCTGTTGGAATGTCAGAGAAATTGCCGTCAGAGAAAGGTCATGTTGTTCCTCATTCCATTGCACCACCCAAGTATAAGCGACGCAAAGTTTGTGTTGTTCGAGATTTTCCACCTGGGTGTCGGCGGAATGCTGCAGTCACTAGACAAAGTAAGCAATCTGCTCCTCTTGGCAAGACAGTGGCTAGGGTTAAGCATGGGGATTTGTTAGAGACTGTTAGAGATTTTCCACCTGGGTGTGGACCGAATGCTGCATCAGTCTCTAGACCAAGTGAAGAAGCTGGTCTTGGTAATACAGTGGATAAGGAGAAGAATGGGGATGTGTTGGAGACTGTTCAGGAGCAATTAGGTGAAACTGGTCTGGAGTCCCAAGGTACAAGTGTGTTGAAAAGTTCAATGACAACTGAAGTGCTACAGCATCCAAATCATTTGGTTTCAAAGGTAGAAAAGCCAGTTTTGATGTCTGATCAGGTAGGTGGGGATGGTGCTTGTACAAGGAAGCTTTGCACTGAACTTGAAACTGCAGAATGTCTCAATTTTAAAATCTCGGATTTAAACAACGTGGATGTTGCTGCTTCTGAAGGAAAGATGACCTGTTTGGAGAAGCTTAAGCCTAGAAAATATCCCCCTCGGAGAAAGGTCTCAGCCATTAGGGACTTTCCTCCATTTTGTGGAAGGAATGCTCTCTCACTTCCTGAGGAAGAGCGAATGAGAGCGGCTGCTCTTCAGAAGAAGAAGAGCTTGGATAAGGAAAAGTTTGGAAAAGAGGACCAAGGAGATGTGAAACAAGTGAAAAAGGCTATTCAAGATGGAGGAGATGCTATACAGGATGGTGTGGGACATGATTCTTCTGAGCTGATAGGAGACAAAATTATATCTGAACATGAAGAACTTGCTGCTAAAGAAATAAGGGAGAAAGGTGCAGTTGGAACATCTTCTGGAAAGGAGATTAAGGTTGAAATAGAGGATATGGGAAAAAAGGGCACTGATTCCCACCAAATTTATCAATCTGAATTTGCTAGTAAGTCCAATATAGTCACTGAGATAGAGAATGCAGATCTCCAAGGTTTGGAGAAAAATACAACCCATGAGAAAGTTCTGAGATGTGATGCTTTGGTCCACACTGAGAAGAAAAGTCTCAAGAAAAAGTCTTTCCCTCTTTCCTGTTATAAGGATCAATTATCTGAGGGCAATCAGGAGAGTTCAGAAACTAGTTCGGTCAGATTGCTTGTGCAAGGTCTAATGGCTTTATCAAACTGTCCTTGGAGGCAAAGAAAATCAGCCTGCAATTCTAAGCTGCTGCATGGTTCTAATGGAAGAGAAGGACAAGGACATGATTTCACATCATTAAAACAAATTAAATCAGCAGAGAAAGTAGTCAATAATGCAGCAAAAGACTCTGGAGGAACACACAGAAAAACTAAACCTGTTGGATCAGGTGAGAGAGGAGCAAAGAAACGTCATCTGGTGTTGTCTCCACAACCTATTTCTATGGTAGCTCCAATTAAGAGTGAAGGAGAAAACTTTGAAGAAACATGTGCTGAGAAGAATCCATCACCTACAAGAAGTGATATGAATGAATTGGATCTCTGGGATAAGAAAGACTCTCTCCAGCATGATGGGATATGCAAAAATGATGTTAAGAGACATAATTATAGTGTAAGCCTTCCCCCCTCTTGTCCAAGTAATGCCACTGGTGAAACTCATGATAGGAACAAAGTGAGGGAGGTGTTGCGTCTATTTCACACTGTCTGTAGGAAGCTCTTGCAGGAAGAAGAGTCAGGCTTGAAGCGAGAAGAAGGTAACAAAAGGAGTAGGATTGATTACCAAGCAGCAAAGATTCTCAAGGCTGAAGGAAAATATGTTAACACAGGTAAACAGATCATTGGACCTGTTCCTGGTGTTGAAGTGGGGGATGAGTTTCAGTATTTTGTGGAGCTTAATATCATTGGTCTTCATCGCCAATCTCAGAGTGGTATAGATTATCTCAAGCAAGGTGACAAGATCCTGGCTACAAGCATAATAGCATCGGGAGGCTATGATAATGACTTGTACAACTCAGACATCTTGAGTTACATGGGTCAAGGAGGACGCGTGATGCAAAAAGATAAGCCCCCTGAAGATCAAAAACTTGAGAGGGGAAACCTCGCTTTAGCAAATAGCAAAGTTGAACATAACCCTGTTAGAGTTATTCGTGGTGAAGGAAAGTCTTCTGATTCATCAGATTCAAGAGGCAAAAGGTATGTATATCACGGACTGTATTTGGTGGAGGAATATAAGCAAGAACCAGGGCCACATGGAAAGCTAGTCTATAAATTTAAGCTGGTTCGAATTCCTGGTCAACCGGAGCTTGCTTGGAAAGTAGTAAAAAGGTCCACAAAATCCAAGGTACGGGAAGGTCTCTGTGTTAATGATATCTCTCAAGGGAAGGAGTTAATACCCATCTGTGCCATCAATACCATAGATAATGAGAAGCCCCCGCCATTTGAATATGTAACTAGCATGATATATCCTGATAGGTATTCTCCTGTTCCTCCCGAAGGTTGTGATTGTACTCATGGATGTTCAGATATGAGGAAGTGTTCTTGTGTGATGAAGAATGGAGGAGAGATCCCATATAACCGTAATGGGGCTATTGTTGAAGCAAAGCCCCTAGTCTATGAGTGTGGCCCTACTTGTAAGTGCCCTCCTTCTTGCCATAACAGAGTCAGCCAGCACGGTATCAAAATTCAGCTTGAGATCTTTAAGACTGAATCAAGGGGCTGGGGTGTCAGATCACTGAATTCAATCTCTTCTGGAAGCTTTATCTGCGAGTATGTGGGAGAACTCCTTGAAGAAAAGGAAGCTGAACAAAGAACTGGCAATGATGAGTATCTGTTTGATATTGGGAATAACTGCCATGACAACTCTCTTTGGGGTGAAGTAACAGAGCTCATGCTTGATGCTTCATCGGGTTCTTCCCAAGTTGTGCAAGAAAGTGGCTACACCATTGATGCAGCTCAGAAAGGCAATGTTGGAAGATTCATAAACCATAGCTGCTCACCCAATCTGTATGCACAAAATGTCCTCTACGATCACAAAGACATGAGAATTCCTCACATCATGCTTTTTGCTGCTGAGAACATTCCCCCACTGCAAGAGTTGACTTACCATTACAACTATATGATTGATCAGGTTTTTGATGCTGACGGCAATGTCAAGAAGAAACCTTGTTATTGTGGTTCTTCAGAATGCACGGGTAGAATGTATTGAAGCAAAGTGCAAGTTCAATTATCTGTTGATTTCTTTGCTCCTTTTCCAGTCATACATTCATTGCTAAGTTTGTCATTTTCATAGATATATATATATATATATATATATTCTACCATATATTTTGGAGAATATCGAATCCCAGTTTTTATTGATAGAGGCAAAGGGCACTTGCTTGCCTTACATACTTGATGACAACAAACAATTAACAACTGTTACACACACACACATATATATATTTCAGAAACGGAAATAGCCAGCACCCCCCTACTTAAACAGGCATTCTATTTTAGTTCAATGTCTGATTGGTAAATAACCCCAGCCTTCCAATCACTTGGAATGACATTCCAGGCCTCCACCCAAGTGTAGTAGCCAGCACTGCTGCTCACCTGGAGCCTCAACGACACCGGCCCCTTTGGCGGACTCGCCATGTCGAACACCGCCCCATATGCCCTTCTCATGCTAGTCCATTGCTTGCAATCCTCCTGCAACCATCCATCGAAGTGTAAAATACATAGAATATGAAGTAACTTCAGCTCCATGGTAAAAGAAACTGTTTTAGAAGTAAGATCAGGTGCAAAGCAAATAATTGTTGTATACCTGCCAAATTTGAATGTCCAAGACATCGTTTTTGCCAGCTTGGTACAAGATGATTATGGCCAAGTAATTAGGGTAATTGCTGTTCTCATGCACCTTGAAGATAGTCTTATGACCAGGGTAGCTACAGGGGACTCTCCGGTAATCTACATCCACGACTCCGTAAGCAAAGAGCTGCCCTGCCTTGTCACCGGACTTCGCCATCCGTGTGTAGGCTCGTGGGCTGAGAATGAAGTCAGTGTGGTCTCCTTCTCCATAGTCAGTCACAACTACGTTCACACCATCATCAGCACAGAGCTCTGGGTTTTTGCACCTAACCTGAATTTATATTATGGAATATAAAAATGAGACAAGGCCCAAACTTAAAACTTCCAATTTTAAAGTTTTATGTTCGAGAGACTCATATTTTAGAAATAATGTCGAAGTCGAAGTTTAAATACCTGGTAACAAGCACCACAGCCAGTGCCATTTCTCCAAAGCTTAGAGACCCCAGAAACATGGCCATCATATACAGTCCTTCCATATTCTCCAAACCCACAAGCACCACCTAAATTGACATATTAACGACATTGCATGATTTAGCTAATTTCAATACATACATTATTTATATATATATATATATGTGTGTGTGTGTGTGCACGTGTGTACACAATAATAATATGTATGTTAATACGTGCATCAATGTATGGTTAGTACACATACTTGGGGTGCCATAGCAATCAGGGCTGCCATAGTAGGTTGCTCTAGAGCTGACAAAGTCATCCTGAGAGAAGGACAGAGCAGGAAAGAGCCCCATAACACAAAGAAGGCAGTAAAACAATGCAGAACCCATATTTCTTCAATAAACGGAAGAGAACAGTTGGGTATATAAAGAAGAAGAAGAAGAAGTACTGAGGGATGGAAAGCAAAGAAAGGAGAATGGCATATTTATAGGCCATGAGAGGCTGCTGGTGAGCCAATGACGGGCCTCTTCTTCCACTTGCAGATGAGAGTCCAAAAGAGTCTATGGCGGCAAGATGAATGACCGAATGGTGGGTGTACATACACCTCTGAAGACCATTCTTTTGATAACGGATGTATTATGTTAATTAATTTGAGGTTAGACTGACAATTATTCCTTCTGCCTACCTTGGAGGGTATGATTACTTCTTAATGATTGTACCTTCAATCGTTTTTTAATTAGAATGAAGTTGCATGTTTTTTAATTAGAATGAAGTTGCATAACAAGCCCGAGTTTAATGTTTGGTTTATTAACTGTTAACTTGATATTTGATCAAGTCTAAAAATATTTTTTTCTGTAATTGTTTTAAGTATAAATTCATATAAGAATGATATTTCTGTCTAAGAGCCATTAGTTTCGTCTTCTCCAAGTCGTCGTAAGGAGGGAATAGGATGAAGCACCGAAATCTTGTGCTAGCTACACATGATGCTTTCAAATAGAAGTGAAAACTGAAAGTTATTTTCTTTTCTTTTCTTTTTTCCAATAAGTCATTTATTTTACGGTCTGAATTATAAAATAAAAATTATCATAAAAAATGATAGCTATCGAAAGTGAAGAAATATGCCTCTATTAAATAATTTAATTTATATAATTTAATATAATTTGAATTGTTTCTAAAGCTTTTTGTTTTGCACTTGCAATGCCCATGTTAATTAGTCCGGTTTTAGCTTGTGGACGGACGAGACTTGGATGGTGAAGAAAAACTATGGGCTAAAAAGGGGTAAAGAGTATAGACCGCAGGGCCTAATTCAATTGTTGTGTTGTAACGCACTAGAAGTTAGGATTCTTTCAAATACAGTCTTACCCGTTGCTCATCTCAGAATAATTTCTTGGATAAGGACTAAAATTAGGCGTTAGAGCACCCAAAAATTTCCCGTTTTAGCTGTATAGCTCTGCAGGTTTTAGAATAAGGAAATTGATTTTATTTTGTACTAGTTGAGTTCTATACGAAAAAAAGAGACCTAAGTTGGGGTTGGTGGCAACTCAATTTCAGAATAAAGCCAACTTCCAATCGTCTTCCCTAATAACTGAATTTTCAAAGATTGCAATCAAGGAATTTGGTTGAAAAACACTCGATCTCATATTAGTTCCATTCCCTTTTCTACTTATCATGCACCATTTTAAGTACCAAAACAAACTGCAAACAATCACTTGAGTTACAAAAAAAAATTCATCATAATCTTTTTCTCTTTTTTTTTTTGTGTTTAAAACGAAGATAAAAATGTTGTTATCATTTTACAAGTAGATGCAGGCATCCACGTGCCCTAAATTATCTAAGAAAACATCGCATTGGATTATTACATTTCCATGTCTTCATCTGCAATATAGAGCAGGACCATTCTTAGCAACTTGAGCCCCAGTTCAATGCATAGTACAACGTCCCTGTCAAGTTCCAAGATCAATATTAGAGAAGCTACAAAATATTTAATGCTTTGAAAATTTGTAATCACCTAGAACCACACAGCAATAGGTACTGTGCACGAGTTAGCTGGTTCAAATCAAACTGTTAATATGCCATTCTGCCTTGTAACTGCAATAGTAAATTTTTGAATCCTTTAATATTTCAAATATATAAAAAATATATTTAATATATTTAATTTCTATCATAATTATCATTTTATATGTTTTTAAAATAATATAAAAAACATAAAAATTAAAAATTAAAAGACCAAAAAACGTTGTCAAACCGTGCCTAAACTAGAGAAACCAACTGTTCTGTTATGATGGTGTTCGCTATACTGGGCTATTGGGCTTGAATACTGACATCACTTAATCAATGGGTCCTTGCCACTTTTGGATAGAGAATATAAGAGACTATTGAGACTTGGGATCTAATGTCTATGGGCTATGGTTGCCATCTGGAACATTGCATTATAACTAGCATCTCTAACTCTGACATTTTGTGTGGGGGCAAACAAAGCTATGCTTGGGGGATTGATATGATTTGACAACGAAGCACAATACCAACCAACAATGCTTCTTCAGTCACTTGCAATCCACTCCAGCAATATTTAACAGATCAACCAAAGTAAATGCAAAGTGTAAAGCTTATGAAAACACTCAAGTCTAATCAGCACTATAGCTACTACACTTTTCCAGGTGTAGTTTACTGAAGAGTTGATGTTAAGAGAGAGAGGCAATGATGGTAAAGGTGGTGTGATGCTAAAATGAACACCCAGAATTCCAGAATATGTTCAACATCAGAAACTTGCTATCGTAGCTAAGGAAATGGAAAGTGAAAGATATGACAGAGACTGGAGTGTGATGAACAACAAACAGAACACGTTAATAAAGCTTTCCCCCTTTTCCATCCTCTAACAGTATATTAGTTATCACTTATCAATGCAGCATTCATACCTCAAGAAGCAGAAATGATTTTAATCATTTCATTTGAGACGCGAGGTTTATTGATTTTCTGGTTTTTTCTTTTCATTTAAAGGTGACGACTCAGCTATACCATGGCATAGTAGCCAGAGACCTAAAAGAACCATAGGCTATATTGGGCGTCAAACTGCAATCAACAATCAATCCTTTCAAGAATAATGCGCAACGCAGATGGGACCAATAAGATATTCTGGTACCTCAGCAAAGTCACCCTAAAATTATGTACCATGTAATATTAATGCAAAGTTGCAAACTATAATAAGTGCCATATGGAAGTTCAGGAAAAAGTAAGCAGTTATTTGGACAAATTGCCTAATAAAAAGGGCCTGTTTAGTTCTCACCCCTGAGCTATTATAATAAGTATAATTATTAAAATGCATATTAGTAATTTAATCATCACATAATTTATGGGCTGAAATGACTTTACCCGAACACTAGAACAATCACCAACCAAGTTTTTCAATAGTCAAATAAGTTGTGCCTTTTTCAGGTCTGCGACAACACCTCGGTCTTTGGTGCTTTTTTCGTTGTACAATACCTGCACAGAATTATGAAAAGCTCAGTGAGGAAGGCATGTAAGCTAGGATAATTTAAATAACTCTTTCAAGTTAAAGAACCTTATCTATGATGCCATATTCAACTGCCTCACTAGGTGCAAAGTATTTTGGGCGCCTGCTATCAGCTTCAATCTGCTCAGGTGATTTTCCAGTATGCTTTGCCAAGAGATTAATCTGGAGCACAAATCATATCAAATATATGCCAACTGTTATGTTAGATCAACCTTACAGGTGCATCCAACAGCAAATTTTTCTGAGTGGCTAAACAGGTATAATACTTTACTACTATAATTAAATAATCACTTATAATTCTTTTTTTCTTTTTTTTTTTTTGAAGTTCGAGAAATGATATTTATTACAAGATGGAGGTAGTGTCACAAAGTTAGAACTAAACCACAAAGAAAAATATCTAAATCAACATTAATACTGGCAAAGCAGATTTACAAAAACAATAGATGAAACCCAGACACCTCAAGTAAACCTCAATTTCTTACAAATTCCAATAGGAATATAATAAATGACAGAAGTGTAAAGCATAAGTAGTTATCAGTCCAGAAATGTGTAAAATCCAGACAACAATAGTGTAATCTAAGGAATATAAAAACTTAGAAATTATCATGCAGGGACATGTAATCTCATCCTTTCAGCATACTACCACTTTAGAGATTGAAGCAATGAGGCTGAACATGACTTCATATTCCATACATCTTCTAAAACCTATCCAACAATTTATCCTTGATCTCTCCACTTTTAATCCATTTTGATGAATGGACTAGAAATTTTCCAATTCCCATAAATAAACTTATGAATTCTGATAATCTAAAGTTCTAAACACACCTCATGCTCAGGTTATTCAACTTTAATAGTAATGCAAGATTGCAAGGATATACACACATAAAATGCTGCAATGTGGTTGATAATTAATCTTACCAACTCTATCTTCACATTCCTTAATTCCCTTCTTGCTATGTCGACATCTGTTGCCTGACCTTGAAGCCTAGCAATTGGCTGCAGATTGTTGAGGAAAGGAGGCACAAACCACATTAAACCATGTCAAACCACAATCAAGTTCTTAGAGACATGAATATGTTAGAGCATTATAGATTATTGTTAAGAACCAACCTGCCTTATCATTATTGTGGATGAAGGCAGGGCAGAACGATTTCCTTTTGCACCAGCAGCCAAAAGCATAGCTGCTTCTCCCCAAGCATTTCCAACACAGAGAGTAAAAATAGGTGCCTTTACATAGCTGCAGTGCATGAAAAAATTAAGAAAATAATAATAATAATAATAAAAAAGGAGAAACTCCAAACCTCTTCTGGTAATGTAAAGATGCATATTTTAGCACAGTCTGCATTCACAAACTCTTTCAAGATTGGTTTTAATTTTTAAACTACAAACATCAATAATAAAAATGGAGAAGCTGCAAATTACAGATAGGTCAAGCATGGTTCACATAGCATGATGAATCATTATTTAAAGATTTAACAATAATTGATAATGCAGGATGGTGAAAAATAAAAACAGCTTCCTGATCTTAGACATGAAAGTTCTAGATGAATCCAAAGCTTCATCAAATGTACATCATGAAATGCTTTGTAGTGAAGCATGGCATCATCAAGAAAAGTGGAAAGATTAATGACCTCATGGCATCATAAACTGCAAACGCCTCAGTCTCATAACCCAGTTTCTGACCACCCTGAAAAATGTAAAATATTTTTTTAATGAGAATCATTAGAAGGAAAAATCTTTAAAAGAATCATTAGAAGGTGAAATCTTTAATAGCAAATTCTTTCAATTTTAATGGTTATGATACTTTAAAATCTTAACGTTAGTTTATGACTCCCCCTTTCATTCCTTTTATTTGGACAAAAACTTTCCCACATATTAGACATATGCCAGCCTCCTTCCTAGATGATGCTTACCTTTTGGGTTCCAGTTGAGTTTATGTACATGTAAATCGGCTTCTTCTCATCTTCATACTGCAGGTAAAGAAATTCTGCCATCATCAACTCCGTGACAGAAGGGACAAGAGGCATGCCCAAGTAAACGATCCGGTTCTTGAACAAGTATGATGCTAAGTCCGGTGGAGGTTGCTCCCATGCACTTCCTTTCGTAAATGGAATGACCTAACAATAAAATTCTTATAAATAAAACATCCATCCATACATACACACATTCCTCAAGCATATGCAAATGCACATAATGAATTAATTGAATTGCATAGTTGATTTGAACTCTAATAATACATAAATTCGAGTTTCAATTTGACCGTAATACATATGAAAAAGATACTACAAAGTTCTCATCTTCTACTGTAGCATTTATCTTAAGATGAGCATTCAGCTGCAAATTAAATTGTAATTCTACCTCGAATACTTAATTTCAGCACATTATTCATGCAGATATCATAGCAAAACTATTAATCGAGTAAAATGGAGGCGCATTAGAAATCAAATGAACTAATGAATCTTAAATTAGAAGCGTACATTGGTTACGACACTTCGTTTCGGTTTGGACCAGCTGAGGGAAGCCGGATTGAGAGGCTCAGGACGAAGCGTGTGTCCAGAAAATTCTGCAGAGCCGCTGCCGGAGGAGGCGAAGGGCGATGGAAAGCTGGTGGTAAGAGAGGCCTTTAGGCTTCGGTTAAGGTTAAACGCTCGAGCGGAGGCGGATGGTGATAGCATACGCGAGTGAAGCGCGAACGTAGACGATGCGGCGGTGGCGACCTCCATCGACGGCTATGAAGATGAAGTTCCGGAAGAAACTGCGAGTAAGGGAAAAGGTAGGGAGGAGAAATTGAAATCCGGATACAACCCGATATGAAATATGGAGTCCAGACCGAGCCCCGGTTAAGGAAACGTGACGTGTCATGTTGACCATTGACGTGTCAAATTTTGGTCAGACTGATGCCACATCATCAGTGCTTTGACTTTGAAGGCCGAATTTTAGATAAAAATTTAAAAGATATTTGGTTTAGTTTTTACGGTGTTTCAATTTTTTGATATTATTCATATTTTATAAATTTAAAATTTTCACTTAAAAATTTATATTTTTAAATTTTTTTTAATTTTAAAAAGGTCTCATATGGTGAAAATTTAAAAATTTTAAATTTAAATTTTTCATAAACTCATTTTTTATTCACTTGTTTTTATTTCAAAAAATAATTTTTAAATTTTTTCACCAATAAAATTTTAAATTTATTACACAGATATCAAAATAAAATTAAAAACTTTTATAAGTTAACTCAAATATGCTCTTACTACTTTATTTTAAAAGATATGTTGTGGATAAGAGGGGTGCTAGGGGCACTCGCCTTCTGCACTCTCCGGCCAACATTTTCACTTTTATTGGGCCACGTTATTCTGGTAGAGAAGAGGTTGCACTTCAAAGCTGAAATAGGCTTACGTGGCCCAATGAAAGGGGAAGTGTTGGCCGGAGAGTGCAAGAGGCGAGTGCCCCTAGCACTGCTCTTGTGGATAATTTTTTTTTTGAACATGGCTCTTGTGGATAATTAATGCAGACATTTAGTAAGATGACACATTGGTCTAGGTTCCAGACTGGCCCAATCTGGTCATTGCACAACGCACAGCCCAGGTTATGGACCTACATGGGGCGGCGGAAAGACAGATGAGTTAGTTCTTAAACTGGCCCAATCTATCCAAGACAAAAGTCCCATATCATTGTTGAAAAAAAATATTTATTTCGATTTAATATTTATTTTACTTAAATTTAATATTTTTAAAAAATTGTAAAAATTTCAATCATTCGTAGTATAAAAGTAAATTTTTATATTTTTATATAAATAATATGTATAAGAATTGAGTAAGTGTATCCTAATTAAAAATAAAAAATAAAAAAAGAGATCAAATTTAACTTAAAATGTATTTAAGGGAGTTTAAGAAGTAAGTTGATTTTAAGTAAAATTTTTATTTATAAATTTTAAAAGAAAGTTTAAAAATTAACTTTTAAGACTCATTTATTTACAAACTTTTCTAAAAAAGTTTCTCTAGAGAAGCCAAGCCTAAAAAGGAAAGTTAGCTCGACTAAATTTTTGAGAAAAATAAAAATGTTAAATATAATCAATTATTTTTGTTTAGTAATAAGTTACAATGCCCATATTTAATCACTTTCTTCGAAATATAACTTTTCAAGAATTTTGTTCTCAAAACGCCTGTTTTTTTCTTTGTAAAAGTCTGTTCTCAAGTTACGTATAAATATATTTTTTTCTCTTAAAACAACGATTCGAACCTGTCCCATTATAAATTTATTTTTAAAAAAAAACACCTGTTTTATGAAATATGTAGTCAATTAATCCTCCTTATAACCGATTACAACATAAAAGTCATTTTATTTTATTCTTGATTTTTTGTGCTTGGATTGTAGAGCCATTCCCGTCCAAAATTTGTGTGGCTTCTCAAAATGTTTTTACCCCGAAAGTAGGCCACCAAACATAGCCTTTAGGCGCAGCTGGAGCTAAATATCCATTATTATAAATTGATTTATAAAGCATATTTTCTTAATTCGGGAGTTAAGTTCAAAATTTTTTACCTTAAAATTATAAATCTGTTAAAATATAAAAAACTAACCTGAAGGCAACTTTTTAGTAAATTTTAATAAAATTATATATTTGAGTCTTTTTCAAAACTTAACGTTTTTAAAATTTGTTAAAAAATATTTTAAATTTTCATTTTTAAATTTTTTAATAAAATTTTAAATTTAATTTTTAAAAAACCCTAAAACAAATTTACTTTTAAAACTTAATCAAATAATTTCCTTAATTTTTCATTAAAAAAACAACATATTAAATGCTAATTTCTACTTTTTATTGTCATTCTTTGTCCTTTTTCTCTTTTGTCTTTTTACTCCCGAACCAGTCATTGAAGTAACATCCAGCCATCCACTGTTCCCAGTTCCATCAAAGGATAGCTCACGTATACACTGAAAAACCACCACCAATACAAAACAGAACCCATGTATTGATCACCCCATCATCATCCAGCTCAAATGTCAATGTCCATGGCCTTGTTTCCTCCTCCATCCAGGCCTTTCTCCTCCAACCTTCACTTTGCCCTCAGACCCACACTTATCCTCGCCCCTAAGAGGCCCCTCCACCTCCTCCTCTCCGCCCCCAAGTCTTTACCAGAAAATGGACCTGGAGTTTCCATCTCAGCTGCCGCCGTTGAAGACCCAAAACCCCAATTGAAGGTCTCAGAGCTCACGGAGTCTGTGGGGCCAAACGGGGCTCCGACTGCCTCGGAAGTCAATGCTGTGGCCACGTTTCAGGACCCCAAGTGGATTGGAGGGACTTGGGACTTGCAGCAGTTTAAGAAAGATGGGAACATTGATTGGGATGCCGTAATTGATGCTGGTGAGGTTTCTAGTTTTCTTTTTCTTTCTTCGTCAGACTGCAAAATCCAGAACAGCATAGAACACTAAAGTTCCAATCTTTTACATGTTATTTCTTTTTTTCTCTTGTTGATAAAAGTCAGAATGTTAAGGAAGTAAAATAATTTTGTCTCTGAGTAGCGGTTTCTGTTGGGGTTCTGAATTGAATCTTCTCATAAAAATGCAACGGCATCATGTTATGGTTTATGAATTGGTTGAAGATGAATATGACTGCCTGACAAATGATTGCTTATAGACTTGTACTTTATGATAATATTACTTGTGTTCCTAATGGACTTCCTTTGACGAGGATCTTCAGAGGCTAGGAGGAGAAAATGGCTTGAGAATAACCCAGAATCAACCAGTAATAACGATCCTGTTGTTTTTGACACCTCTATTATACCTTGGTGGGCATGGATGAAGAGGTTCCATCTACCTGAAGCTGAATTACTTAACGGTCTGTTCAGATCTATCTTTCTTTTGGTTTCTGCTTTTTTGTAAAGATTGATCTTTCTTTTTCAATGTGGATCAGAGAAGGCTGCCGGCTTCTTTTAATCTCAATTCAGCCTTTTTCTGAGTTTTTCTGCAGGCCGTGCAGCAATGATAGGGTTCTTCATGGCTTATCTGGTTGACAGCTTGACCGGAGTAGGTCTGGTTGATCAAATGAGTAATTTCTTTTGCAAGATTCTACTGTTTGTTGCTGTGGTGGGAGTTCTTCTCTTCAGGAAGAATGAGGATGTAGAAAACCTTAAGAAGCTGATTGAAGAGACAACCTTTTACGACAAGCAATGGCAAGCAACCTGGCAGGATGACACCTCTGGCAGTTCCAAGAACAACTAGGTGAATTGCAATTCTTAGCCTCATCATTTTATCCTTCAACTGTTGTATGTTATTTTTCCACGTATTTTCATTGCAATTCTACTACTTTGTTAGGAAGCAGGATGTTAGTCCTTTTTCCCTTCAAAGTGTTCAGTTGGGTTCTGATTGTTTTATTGCTGAGATATGGCTATGTTAAGATTTAAGTAGGTATCCGATTATCATGCCTTACCTTTTTTGGTCATGAATATTATGCTATCACTTCCTCTTATTTATAGCACTATAATCATTGTCTAGATATCTCATTTTGTAGATTTGAAGAAAGAGTGACTAACTTCTGAAATAAAAGAGTGACTGACTTCTGAAATATGCATTAGATTTCCAAAATTTTCAGGCCTTAGCTAGCCATTGCCTGATAGAGTACCACAAGGGAAAGCAGGGCAGCTAACTAGGATTAAAAGTCTCTACAAATTTTTCACCAGTACCAGAGGATTGGATGAATACTCGAATTACTCCCAATCCCTCAACAGAGTGGCTCAAGCCACCCTGTCCACTTCCAGGGTGAAAGCTCCCATTCTCAGGTTGCAGTTATGAGTCTTGCATATGGACTTGATATCATTAAATGCTTTCTTCATGGACTTCTTCAGTTCGCAGTTCACCTTTTCTTCATCCCTCATAAATCCTGCATATGCATGCATTAAGCAGGATTATCTTACTAAAGCGCTTGGGGTGGATTAGAAAGTAGGAAAGGATGTTCATTGATTCTCGTTGTTACCTGAACCCATTCAAAGTAACTCACGGTTACTCCAGCAGAATTTGCATAAATATCCGGGAGAATAAGCACCCCTTTCTTGGATAAAATCTGCACAAACAGATAGCTTTTATCCATAAGTTTCTTTGAAAGGATGAACTTCTAGCTCTAGGCAATTTACTCAATTCAGCTATAGTATTTACTTCATCTGCTTCTGGATCAGTTGGCTGATTTGCACCTTCTATGATGAACTTTGCCTTCACATCTGCAGCATTTTCCCTTTAAACCCAAAGTTGAAACAGAGACGATCAATCTATCTGCTTTTGATTTTTGTTTTTAACACAAGCAGTTCAAGTATTTTTGAAGTTTCTTGGAAGCAGAGTACATACTTGTTTAGAACTCCACCAAGTGCACAGGGTATGAGAACATCACATCCCTGAACAAGCAACTCATTAGCATCCATGGCATCTGTACCTTCAAAATCCTGCATACTTTGATTGCTTTCTCTGTGCTTCAGCAGGGCAGGGATATCAATTCCGTCTGGGTTTCGCACTGCACCTGTGATGTCGCTGACTGCAACTATCTTTCCCCCCTTCTGATGAATAAACTTCACCGTCCAAGAACCCACATTTCCAAAACCGTACAGAAATGGCAATTCTAATTGCTAAACAAAACATAAACTCATTAATCATAACAGAATTTAGGAAATAGAATGTTATAAGCTCCTGTATGGCAAACTTCATATCAGCTATTGACTTCCCATGTTCAGCAAGTAAAGAGTCAGCTGCAAAAACAACTCCAGGCCCTGTTGCAGCATCCCTGCCCAATGATCCTCCAAGATCTTACAATTCCACAGCAAAGTTCAGTTTTTTCCCTTGGTTACTTTCTTAATCTCTCTAATTAACTTACAATGGGTTTGCCGGTAACAATTGCAGGGGAGTATCCATGAAACTTTGAGTATTCATCCAGCATCCATGCCATTGTCTGTCCAAAACGAGCCTGTAAGATATCTGAAAATTTCAGAATGAACAATTTCTTCAGACAATAAACTGTCATACCTGAGAATTAGTTCCCATGTCCGGGGCAGGAACATCTCCATGAATTCCAATAGGATCATGGATCTTCTGCGTGAAGACACGAGTGAGACGCTATAATACAGTTGTAGAGAGGTCTTCAGGATTGCAGCCAATCCCGCCCTTTGCTCCACCATAGGGAATATCTGCCACGGCTGTCTTCCATGTCATTAGCTGTGCCAATGCATTCACCTCATCTGGTTGAACTTAGAAGAAAAGCAAAGATCTATATGGTTTAACATTCATGCATATATGCATCTTTTTTCTCTTACTGAATCAAAACCTGAAATACTAGGCCTAGAAATCATGGCAGAGTACGTAACCTCAGGATGGTAACGGATACCGCCTCTGATAGGTCCACGAGCATTATCATGCTGGACTCTAAATCCGACATAGGATGCAAGAGTACCATCATCTCTAGGAATTGTGCATTGAACCTGCAAATTTTTTTTTTTTTAAAGGAAAAAGAAAGAATGAAGAAATGAAGAAGACGAAGAAAAATAACCATGAAGTGAAAGAAAATAATTAATCATTAGATGTTACTTTGACTTCTCTAAAGGGGATCAAAAGGTTCTTCTCAAGCTTAGCATCCAAGCCAAGTATCCTTGCTGCATGCTGCCTGCTTAAAGTTGTGACTGGTGGCTTCGAGGGCATTCATGGCTGCCAAACAGTCTAAGAAAATGAAGATGATCCAGAAGTAATTAAATATCGATTTATATTTAAAATGAAATTTGAGCTTTTGGTATGTAGTTAGGGTTTTAGGTTGCATATATGGAAATGTAATTAATATTTATTTTAAATGGAAATATAGTTATTACTTAGGAGCCAAAATAGGATGGTGATATAGGGATAATATTTTTATATTTTTTTTATACAACTTTCACGAATCATTAAGTGAATTAGATGTATTTAATATTACAGGTTCTAAATGAATAAAAAAGGCCAATCATTTAATGATACATAAGGTTATACAAAAAAGTAATATAAAAAAATTATTCTTAAATCATTTTCCAGCCAAAATAATAATTGATAGATTATGTTAAATCTCTTAATAAATCAAATGTTCCTAATTACCTAAGTAAAAAAAGTAGTAATCTCATTTTGGTCGAAGTGAAAAAAGTAAGAAATTTTGAGTTTAAATGGCATTGCATATGAGTTAAATTAGTTAAAAATAAAAGAAAATTATTTTTTATTATGTAATTCAAAATAAAAATTAGTAATAATAAATAAATAAATCATTAATGTTTCAATTGGTAAAGTCCCGTGAAGTTGCAAAGATCATCTCTATTCGTTTTTTTTGGAGTAACAAGAACTTGAACACTAGTCATCCATGTCAAAACTATGTATTTATAAAATAAAAATATGTTTTTCAAGTTAAATTATACTTTTATAGTTTTGACATTAAAATTACTCAAATAGCTTTAATATAACTCTTCTTTATATTCATTCATTAATAATGATAATTTAATAATTTCAACTTCTAAATTTCAAATTATACTTTAAGTGTAGTTTGGACAGAAAAACTTAAAATATCATTGTTAAAAATGTGACGTTATTGGTATATCAAGTAAGTATTTCTGTCCTATTAAAAATTTAAATTATGTTTGTCAAAAGGGTAAACCATCTTCACCATCGTTATTTTCTTCTATGAACAGTTTTAAAGTAATTTTGATTCATTAAATCACTTTCAAGTTTGAAACATTGTTTCTGATGAAATGCAACTATCAGTTAGGTCGATCCACCCAATGCATCCCACTCCCACATCTCGTCTTGATATTTGTAAACGTTCAACTTCATCCACTCTGCGTATGGAAACATGCCAACCAAAATGGTAATTAAGATCTATTTTCTCATACTGAAATGAAGGACTAGGATGATTTGATTCATTTTTGTATGAATTTCAGGCAACATACTGCTGCGAAAAGGCGGTGTTGGTAACTGTGTATGTAGAGAAGCCTAGGAGGAGGATTCTTCACCACCATCTTCATTATACCATCAGAAAGGAGGTAATACAACAGGAGCATGGTGTTACCGGAAAAGGGTACGACAGAAGAGCTGAGCTTCTTCACTACTGTCAGCGTCTCCGGCTGTCTGCTCCACAACTACCACCACCTGCATCCACATCTTCAGAGTCAAAAGCAGATTCTTCCACCCATCAACAACCTTCAAACAAAGTACCCAACTTTTGCTCAATCCAACTCTAATATATCTTCTTTCTTGACATCAGATTTCTGAGTTTGGTTAGGCATTAACTAACATGTGTTGGTTTTTTGGTAGAATGCTACTGTCCAAAGAACAACAAAACATTCAAGGACACCTGCTTGGCTGAGAAAGTCGATAATCTTGATTCCAAGTTTTCTCAGATCTTTAACAAGTCCTTCAAGCCAAGTAAACCAGGAAGAAAAGGAAACACAATGACTCGATGAGCTACAGGATGCAAGATGTAATGAAGAGCATACAGGTGAGAAGAAAATTTTCTCCATATATAATCTTTATTCTTATATGGTTTTCTGGTCCTAAATGCAATGGTTCTCCAGGTAAAAAAGAAGTGGGAGTTCATTTCAAAACTGTTTTCGACATCTCACAAACCTAGGTAAAGCTTCAATCTGTGCTGAAGATACAGATTTCAATTCATTCATACACCAAGCCATGTAAATTCAGAAGAGGAGTGGTTTTATTTTTGGATTGAAAATTACATCAAACATACAAGATTTCAGGTGTCCTATAATGGAAAGTTTTGAAAGCATTCTATTCCTAATAATCATCATTCATTTCTATGCAATGCAACTCGTTTCAGATTTATTTTTGTTTATCAAACAAGATCTAACAAGGATCGTCAGTTCATTACTAGAACATACATAAGATAGATTTCTCCTCAACAGAAGCAGAGGAGTTGTGTGCCTGTGGATAAGCCTGTTGCTCTAATGCATCTGGTATAACATGATTCAGAGAGTTGATAGACTGAGAAGCATTCCAGACTGTTCCAATTACAACTTAGCAAATGTCTAAGGTAGAATTTCAAGACCTAAATTTAGTACTCACATAAACAGCAATAGGAACTCTCACAGTGTGCTTCTGGCTCTGCAGCAGCAATTCCCCAAATGTGTAAGCATTGGTAGCCACAGTTGCTTTTAAGTCGAGTTTAATTCGTCTTGAACCACTAGGCCTGATCTTAAATATTCGTGGTGAGAAAGTAATATTCACACCGAACGGTTCCCTCACAAGTACTGCGTATGTTTCACTTCTATGACCAACATTTGTTACTCGTCGCATCACCTTCCTTGATCCAACCAGATTTGAAATTGTTATGCTTGCCGTGTTCAAGTCTGAGCACCATTTCTTCCTCTTAACTGGGCATCCAACTCCTGCAGCTCTTCTCACTGACTTATCATCAATTCCTGGAACAGCACAAAGAAATTGTACATACAGATCAAAGTAGGCATTGAATATGAGTCCTGGGTCAATGGCTCGGGATGCATTGATTGATCCAGCCCCAAAATCAAATGGAGTAGCTCGAACAAGTTCGTTTGTTGATTGAGCTAATATAGGAGCCTCAGAATGGTCAGTTATATCAGCGGTTGTCATCATTGCTGATGTGATGGCAGCAGGACTCCAAGTAGGGTGTTTTTGCTTGATCAAAGCAGCAATACCGGCAATGTGAGGGGTTGCCATGCTAGTACCAGAAACAAGCGCAAAATTCTGCCCTGCAAAGAAACAAAGATAAATTTTTTAGAAACACTAGTATCTCTTGAGAATTGATCTTATTAAATACTTGAATTATGGGCAGTGAATTTGGAGATGATTCACAGATAAATTAACTGACATAAACTGTGCATCATAGAAATGAGAAATGAGTAGTAATACCAATGATATTTTGATCTCCTTCACTATTAGGACTCCATGCAGCCCAAATGGAGGAACCTGGGGCCATGATATTTGGTTTGAGGACATCAGCAGTTTGCAGAAGTGCATTGTTCACATCTGGACCTCTAGAGGAGTAGGATGCCACAACTGGTGCCATACCAGTGTAAGTTGCTTGCCTTCCTCCTAATATCCTGGCTCTTGCAGCAAAGATGAATGCCTGTCCTCTTCTGTTCCTGATAGTGTGTGAGTTGTAGTAGTTCCATAAAGCCTTCATTGGAAAATTGTGATGCCATTTAAAAATATTTCAGGAAGTGTTTTACTAGATGGCATCAATGACAAAATGAAGAGATACCAACAGTTAATCCAGAAGAAGTATCTGCTGATCTTACAAAAAATATAAAAATAAAAAGAGGAAAAAAATGAAAAAAAGAAGCACAGTACAAGTGTCTTGACAGTTGAGAAAAAGGGATAACTAGAAAGAAACCCATTGATAAAATGTCATACCGATGACACTTGCATGTTGTTGAGGACAATGCCAGGGACTTGCAGAGTCACTGTGGTTCCTTTGACTTTCTCAGAAGCAATATCAGGGTCCAATGTGACAATAAAACCTACAGCACCAACTTTCTTTATGGTGTCCGCAACAGTTGCAATGCTTGCATCCTCATATTCAAAGTCAAAAGTATATGTGCATATGATAAGTTTTCCCCGAGCCAAGGATGGGATGAAGGGTTCTGGATGAGTACAACTATCAACAAGACCAGTTGTAGCATTCCTCACAGAGACGTCAGCTGCTGCAGCTATGGGATAATGAATTACTCCTGCCGTTGGAGCTGCACAGTAAAAATGAACTGATTTAATTTACAGAGGTTAAGGAATACAAATGACCTTCCTATCCGATATTGAAGAAATAGAACAAATGGGTGTCAAGATGAGATATAAAATCATAGTATGGAATCATGGGGAATTAAATTACGTGCAAGGCCTGTGCCGGAAAAGCTTTGACCGTTGCCAAGTGAGATGATATTATTATACTTCCGGTCAGTGATAGAAGCAGCAACAGTTGTAATCCAGGGGCTAAAGGAGAGTATCGAGCTGGGAGAAGGACCAGTATTGCCTGCAGCCTGAACAACAAGAACACCGGCCCTTGTTGCAAACAAGAGTTCCATTTCTAGCACATTGAGGAAAGCAGCAGGACCAGGAGGGACACTAGATGGTCCAACAGAGAGGCTCAGTATATCAACCCCATCTTCTACTGCCTAAATTAACAAATATTTGGGAAAAATGTAAGTGGTCAGTTAAAAAAAGTCAGATATCAGGCTATTAAATATTTTAAAAACTAGTTGGAATTTAGTATGCTAATCTCTTTATGGGACCTTATAAAGCAATGTTCAGATCTGAATGATATTGCTGTCAAACCTGATCAACTGCGGCCACAACATCTGACATGTAGCCTCCAAAAGTGTAAAGAGCTTTATACACAGCAATCCTATACCACAAAAGAGAATGGAGAAAAAAGGTAATGACAGGATGAAAAGTTGGAAACTGGTAAAAGTCATCAGATCAAAGTGTTAATGCTGTCTTCTTTAATACGAATTTCATGCTGTATTTAAGCTAGATGTGGGAAGCTCATAAATCACAGATTCTTCCTGTCACTTACCTGGCGCCAGGTGCCATACCGCTTGCATATCCATAGTTGAAGCCATTGGCAAAAACTGCAGTTTGGTAGTTCCCAGCAGCAGTAGAGGCTGTGTGACTACAAGAAATTGTCTTTCGCATATGTAATTAGTTTGAGTGTGAGTTGGTCAATTAGAAAACGATTAAGATATAAATGTATGGCTAAAACTAAGTGATTCAAAATTATTTGATGACATGGTATAACAGAACCTGCCTTCCATGACCATCTGCATCGAAGGGAGATGCAACTTCGAGTGTGGCATTAAAATCTCCTGCTGCAATTGCTGCACGTGCAAAATACTGTGCTCCTACTATCTTGCCATTACATGCTGTTGAAGGAAACCGCTCTCCAGTGGTGCAATTCCCTTTAAATTTTCCCTTATTTCTAAAGTCTGAGGAAGAACTGCTTGCAAAACTGGGGTGGTATGGATTAATCCCGGTATCAATAAAACCTATTACTACCCCCTCGCCTGAATTCATTGCTCCCCCAAGTTTAGGCCAAATGCCAGTGGGAATTCCTAGAAAATTAGGTGAATATGTTGTGAGCTTCTCCATTTTCACATCTTCATAGATGGCTCTAACCCCAGTTGCATTCTGAAGATGGCTGAGAACCTGCAAAAAGTCCAAGACTGATTATTTTACCTGTAATCTGTTCTTTTCCCTTGGTAATATCATTGACAAAGCTAATGCACATAAATTCTAATTCAATTTTCCTCTTTCTTTTTTCTTTTATCCAAGGCAGTTCTCTAGACTAGTGACTGGGTATAATTTCTCAAGTCCACTAAACCTGGAAAAAAAAACTTGCTACCAGACTGCTGTCTACCGTACATGAAAGTTACTTGGCTTAATTGCCCAGAAAACGAGAGCAGGAACATTGTCAATGGTGAGTTCAATTTTATCTGGGGTTGTTCATGAACTAATACTTGTATTCCCATATATTGTCACCTGTTCTGACGTAACATGGACAGCAAACCCATTGAGAAGATGAGTATAGCTGTAGAGTTTGTTGTACGATCCTTTCAGTAGGTTAGATTCCAAGAAACTGGCATGTCCACTACTGATCTTTTCCTTGTATGCAGCATGGTCTCTGTCACTCCTGCACATTGACAACTAATTTTAAGAGTGCAAAATTCAAGAATGGGAAATGGGGACACAAAAGAATGGGAAAGGAGATCAAAAAGAGCAAAAGGAAAATTTCATTCACCTGTAATAATCTTGTTTGGTCATTAGAGATATGGCAGGATCTCCCTCCATCAGAACCATGAGGACCTTGGCCTCTGCTAATACACCCCAAATAATAATTAAGAAGATGAAAATGAAGGTGTTGAACGAGGCCATAAAAGCAAGATGTCTTAAAAAGTGGCCTTGAAGTAGAATGAACTTAATCTTTTCAAACACTTAAGAGGGAAGAAAAAGAAATATATCACCCAAATCATAGCTAACTTAAATGGCTAAAAGAAAGCAGCCAACATCATGCCACACACGCATACATTGGGAATGAGAATGATCTCTGCATGATCAAAGGTGGTTTGAAAATGAGGAAGATGTGCTTGGTTGGTTGCATGAAGAAAGGCACTAACAGGTAAATCTAAAAAGGGAAAAGCATATTTGATCAGAGATAAACTATTAACTTGGTTCTGACAATTACATGAATTTTTCCTCTTTTCCTCTTGTAAAAAAAGTTTGAACAAAGGCATTATTAAATCTAAAGTACAAGATAACCACATGTATGATACATACACATGTTACAATTGGCCCAACTTACAAAATATATATAAACTGGGTTCAGTATGATTTTTAGCTAAATATAATGATCCTGTTGGGAGAATAAGGAATTGTCTTGATGCCTGCTCAGACACGAGGATGCTGGGTAGTGTATCTCCCTCCTAAAACAAATTCTTTCCAGAACTAATGAACTACTGTGACCGTTGTTGTCGAGTATACTCCCAGAGAGCAATGGCTCCACTGACATGAACATTAAGTGACCGAACAACTCCCAATTGTGGAATCTCAATGCAAGCATCCAATATGTGGATTATATCCACAGGTATACCCTCTTTTTCACGCCCAAGAACCAAGACCTGGCAAAGGAAAAAAAAAATAAAAGTAAACTTTCATCAGATTGCATGAGGTATTAAAAAATATGAGATAAATTTTTATGAGCAAAGGCAATTGAATTAATGCAAACAAAGCACCTATGGAACATGCAACGAGGTTTGGATTATTGTAGGAGGAAAAATAAAAAGATTTGTATTATTGTCAAAGTACTAGTAACAACACCAAGGAAGCCTCTCTCATAATGGTTAAAGAAAGAAAACTTGGGAAACCTTACTAGCCTTCATTGGTAAGAGAAACATGAAAAGGAAAGAGTTTGGCAAAATCCTTGAGTGGTTTCTTCTTCAAAGAGCGACTTACGGTCTTTTTGGGATAGATATACTGATCGAGAGGTATACTATTTGCAGTTTGCTCCAATCCTAAGATTGAGAAACCTTCCCATTTCTTTTTCTCCAAGAAATGCCTCACACTATTTACTGGGACTTCTATGATAGGGACCCACTTCTCTGCTGTGACACTGGAAAATAATATGCATGTAAATAATAAATAATAGGCTAAACAACTTAGAATGATTTTATGTATTAGTAGAATAACAAATGGAATTAAAAAAGAAGCCCCATTTGGCATTCGAAAATAGCATACAGAATCAACTCATACAAACTAAGGTAGGTGGACTTCTTAAGAATTGAGATCTCTTCTGATTTATGTAATGAATTAAGCAAAAGAAAAAAAAAAGAGATGCTAAATCTCATGAAGTTTTAATGTTAAGAAAACACTTCTATTTTGGAGTCATGGTACCATCTTCATTCATGTTTCTTTATGCTAATTTGGATATCAAACATGTGGAAGCATATAAAACCATCATGTGGCCCAACAACTTTGAACCACAGTCAGCCCCATTCTTTTGATCAGCCTCCATCCTACAAATGCTCCTACCTCTATGCCTCATCTTAAAGCTTTTTAGAAAGAGGGTAAATTGAAGACAGTTTTAAGAGCTAAGGAAAAGAGGATAAATAGAATACTGTTTTAAGAGCTGAGGAAAAGAGGACAAATTGAAGACAGTTTTAGAACCAAAGTGCCTCAGCAACCAACTTGTTGTCTCAGCTGAAGTAGTCTCTCTTTGGTTACAGACATGCATAAAAAAATTTGAGCAAGTATGAAGAAGAAAAAGAAATGAATGATAAGAAGATAACATCAAAACCTGATTAGTTGAAACTGTTTGTCCGCCACTATTTTGGTATCTGCTATAGCTAATCCTGATGCTCTAAATACCTGAAAAGAAAAATAATTGTCGTTGGTATAAGCAAATATGGTTTATTAAACTGCCAAAACATACAGATACAACATAAGTCACTAAACATAAAAGGATTGTAATGTTATGGCCAGCTACAACATACCTCACAGGTCCTTGCCAATCCAGCAAGGTTAGGAACACGGTCAATAAATGATGCTACAAGGATAAACTGTTGGCGGTTTCCCATTACCATTTCCATAGCCAAGCTTCTAGACTTCAACAACTCATTAAGAAGATCATCTTCCTTCTCCATTTCTGTGTTTGACCCATGAACATTTGCCATCACAGACATACTATCATAATAATAGATCACACCAAAAGTTATTTACTTTTCAAAGTTTACCTAAAAGACGTTTGTAGGCTTCCCTGTTTCCCAAAACGGAATGGGAATCCTGCTTTTCATGTTTAGAGAGAGTAATCTTTTTCTGGAAGTCTAAGCGTGCATCTTTAGGCAGCTCAAGCAACTTTTCTATTTTTGCAGCAGACAGTATTTCTGTGGAGTTCGGATCTTCACCAATTAGGCTTTCATTTTTTATTGCCACTACATCCTTTGCCATTGAACATCTGAGGTCCTCCCTCACATCCTGGGACAACGAGTGATGGTGTTAGATAATGGAATCACTTTTCAAAGTGATTCTTGACAAGATACCAAAGCCTATTTGACCAAGTGCTCAAGGCTCGAGTTCTAATTTGGCTGTCTCTGTACTTGTTAATAATTTTAGTACAAGTGAACAAAAATGTTCAACCCTCACTAACAGTTAAGCTTTTAGGTTAAATGATTTTTGACAAATTAGATACCAAACACATAAGAAAAAAACTGTCATTCATCAATTGCTTACGTTAAGAAAATTTAGAACTTGCTCCATAAGGGATGTAGGAACACATTCGAATTCCATTTCCTGCAGATATGATCAACCCATCAGAAAAGATACTCATAGGGACCTAACATACAACAAAGAATAAATTCTGATCACAGAGCTTAGATGTGAACAAATGCAAATAAATTATTGCTGCACTGACTGTTTCAGGAACATTTGGATTTAGCATTATAAGACTTCCAACACAAACACACCTAAAAATAGAGAAGATAAAACAGAAACATGGAAGTTCCAATAAATTAAAATGAAATAAACATTTTTCTTAATATCTCACTAGGAAAATCAGGAACCATCATAATGAAATCATCAAAAACACTCCTTAGAAAATCTGAGAACAAAAATAGGAAAAAACTTGAGAAAAATTAAAATATGTCAAGCAGGTTCATGGTGCACATTTTATTAAAGAACCTGTAAATTCAGAAAGAGAAAGAGCCAGCCAATAGGCATGATAAAAATGACAAAGTACAACTATCAATTAGAAAGGGCTTCCACTAATGTTATACACTGAATAATGATTATCCCTTTAAATGAATTATTAGAAAGGAAAAAAAGGAAAAAAAGAAAGAAAGACCCATTCTCATGGATTTATGTTTTTCTAATGTGATTTTACCAATATGTGTATGGGGGCAGGAAACACATAATATAACTTGTTTTTGTAAGTGACATAATATAGATTTCATATTATACTTAAGGAAACTCCTAAATGCTTCAGCCCAAAAAGGCTTATATTGTGAGACCTGGTGAACTACATTCACAAAGTTACATACCTCCTCAACCCGACTAACAAATATTCCAGATGGAGTAGCGGAGGTATTTGGATTATAGGCATCAAGATAGCCTTCCATGGATGCTCGTAAACTGAAAAATGAGAATTGGTCAAATTAACATGTCAAAGTTCAAACATACATGATGCAGGACAGAACGACAAGTACTTCAAAAAGAATGAAGTTAATGTTCAGATTATTAGTGCAAGTATGATAGCACACAATTAGTATAATGCATCACTGTAACACAATGCTCATCTTATTAAAGTTTACATTACAGTAGCAGAATTTAATTATTATGAGCTTTATTTTCATTTCTTTTATTTTTTAAGATCAAGATTAAGATTAAACTTATTTTCTGGGTTAGAATTCAATTTTTATTAGTTTTCTTTGAAGTAATCCAATTCTGCAATCAAGTTGATTCAATTTTATTTGGAAATATTATACAAGATATTATCCTTTCTTATGGCCTGAAAAACCAGGAAACCAGCCTCTCAGCTGTGCATTTGATCTTTATTGCTCTCTTTCTTTTAATTTCCTTACTGCTCATAAAAGGTACTAGTCTACTAGATAAGGGAGCCGAAAACGATTAAACATTTTTAACCTCAACTAGCTATCCAAATGTCGTGTCCAATCTAAGAGAGGTTGCCACAAAATTGCTCTACAACACAATTGTTTTACTGGTAATTCTAATATCATTCCCCTCTCTTGTTTTCTAAAATCAACCAGCTCTCAGTTGAGATGCTTGCAAAAGAAATTGGACATCCTCTCCTAGTAGATTTAATGTCAATGTTTATCACATTCAAAGGGAAATAGACTGTGCAAAATGAATGCTAATATTTTGAGATGGACACAAAGATACTCAGAGTTCAACTTGTAGAATTATCAAATATTGGATACTGAAATGATACAGATAAATGCCATACCGTACACAATCTGGGTTCTCTGCCAGGTAGGACTTCAAATCCTCAAAGCATCGTTTTTCTAAATGCTTGATATCAGACCTTGTTGAATCCAAGGGAGAAAATAATCTGCAAAGTACTTGGTGTACTAGCACCTAGAAAAGGATGCAAAAAGATGTTAAATCAGAATGAATTCTTATCAGAATGCAAAGACCACCATTATATTGCATCACAAAACTGACCTGAGTAAATCCACGCAAGCTATGATGATGTGAAGTTAATAATGGAATAATAGGGGGGAGTAATTCATCCAAATGACTGAATTGAACTGCTTTTGACGCATGGAGGATAACATTGGCTGCTATGAACACATAGGAGGACAGTGCCTGGATTGGATGCATTTTTTAGGTTTATCAAATACATGTCCTTGAAATAAACCACAAGAGTGCTAGAAGAATCAAGATTATGGAAACAGAATTATTGCATGGGAAGATCTTTTCTAAAGAAAGTATCAAACAGACATTTAAGTTATACATTAACCATACTGCTTATAAAATTGAATCAACATATAGTAGAGTCCAGGGTCAAACTTTTTTTCAGTCCCTAGAACTGTGGTAGCATCATTTCTTACACTATTACAATTATCTTTTGTAAACCAATAAAAGACTAAACGCATTACAGGATAACATAATTTGTAATTTGTAAAAATTAAAAAGTTGCAAGAAAGGAGTTGTATATTAGGGAACAAAAAATAGTTACTAGTTCGTGCATCATGCAGAAGTAATGACATCTCTTCTTAGCCAGGTTCACTGCAAACGATAAAGGAGGCCTTCCATATCTTTCATTTTCAAGTTGAGTTTCTTAATCCAAGAAAGTTACACAGTCTGTCAGTACAAACTGCTTTGTTTCAGTTGTCTAAAATTGCACATGACATTTATCAAAGTAATTTAATCTTAGTTGCCTAAGTCAATATCCAGATCAAATTTAAGCAAATGAAGTCTCTTGGTGCATGCTAAAGGTTCAATAGGGCCACAGATCTGAACAACATCAAGCATCAAGTAAAGTTTACTTTCTCAAAGTGCTTTCCACATCTAGATTCTATAGGCTCTCCAAAATGGCCACAAACAGACAAGCAAAAACCATGGAGCTTTAAAGGAGCAAAACTAGTACAAGATAAAACAAAAATGCATATGATGCTCAAGGCTTAGCAGAGAAGGGAGGAGAAAGATTATCTTTGAAAGCAATTACTCAAGGTGTATTTCATCCTGAATGCTTTTGTATCTTAAAACATTATAAGGAATCTTATATGGATGAACCCAGTAGTAACTCAACTTCACATTAAGCTCATCAAGGTAACTCTTAGCACAAACTAAATCATCTCAATAAAGATTAGGAACATGAATTTTCACAAGCTCCCTGAAGAGTGATATGCAAACAGGTTTTTTCAGTGTAAGAAGTTTTAGAAAACATCAACCATTTTTTCCATTTTATAGTAGAGCAACAAAACTTGTCATATCTATTTTTTTCTTACAAAAGAAAAAAAAAAAAAAAAGTGCAAGGAGCATATTCACTCTTAACACTCACCTGAGGCCTCATATCATAATTTCGTAACATAGGAACCAACTGCTCTGCAACCTGCAATATAATTTTAAGCATTAACTAAGGCACCCAAGTAATTGTCATAGAACATAAAATAAAATATATAAATATATATATATATCTTTCTAGATCTTTCCACCTTTTAGATTATTAATTACTGAGTTTACTTTTAGGGACAACGTTAGAGTTGCAATTAGAGATTCACCATATCTGAATACTGAGATACACAGATCCATGGTTGAGAATGCATCTTTGACTATTACTTATGCCCCTCTGGTGCTGTCTTACCAATGTTTCACTCTGTACTGTAAATAAACTCAAAAGCTATAATAAAAATACCGAGGAAATATGCCTTACCAATGCTGGAAATTTTACGTAAATATTAATTGCGAATGTCTCTAAGTACTGGCGGACAGATGGCAAATTGTTTCTCTGCAAAAACACAGAAGAAGCAAATCACCAAGGATCTTCAACCAGAGAGAGGGAAAAAAAACAACTGCCAACTTATAAGCAAGCAATGCTGACTTACATAAAGTGCTATGTGCAAGCTTTCTGCAACCTTCCCAACTACATTTTCATCAATAAATCGTGATAAAACACATAACATCTGCCAGGCCCGCACCTTTCTCCTATGAATCTGTTGAACATGGGGCACAAATAATCATCATTGTTCAAAAACTAAGAACATAGAAACATAAACAATGCAAGGACCCACACTGGAAGGTATCACAAATTTTTTATCATTAAGAATTGGTCTTATTTAATTAAAAGTTAGCAGAGATCATGGGAACTCCCAGCTTCAAATCTATCTCATACTTGCATAGCAAAGGAACATGTATATTCTGGAAGATCATGCCTCATAAACAGAAACTATAAACACCCCATTGCAAATTTTGATTAAATTTGATATTCCCTTGTTATGATATTTTACTTTCTTTTGCACTACATTTAACATACCAAACCATCTAAAATAAGTAGAAAGATTCAACAACTACAAGCAACTAGTTTTTGGAGCTCAAGTAGCAAGATATAGTTACCGCACTATACTTCTTATACAATTCTTTTGCAAGATCCTTTTCATTCACCTGCACCAAAGATCAATGATATTAATACAAGATGCCACTAATTTCTTTTACCCAAAAAGGGAAAGAAATTGCATGCCCTGCTGTAATGATGAAAAAGATTAGCTAATGTCTATATGGTGGAGCTTCAGTATTACATGGTAACTCTCTTTTCATCTAAATCTGTTTCTAGCTGGTTTTTTAGTAAATTTTCTCTTCATCATCATGGCATTCCTTTAGTTCAGAATACTTCAATGCAGATAAAGAGAAATAGTACCACAGAATCTAGAAGCTCTAGCAGAAATAGTTTTCCAGATTCAAGAGCAGCCTGGCAATCTTTGTTTTCACATGACGATTCCCTCAAATCAGCCAAGTCAGCTAGCTTGTTAAAGAGAACAGCAACAGACACACGTGCATACAACTCTGTGTTGATAAATGCCTGAAAGAGAACAATAATTACAACATTACCTTGTCAACAACCCCAGAATGGCACTAAAGGCAATTAACTTTGCCTCCTTAAAGAATGGAAAAGGCAATGGTTCAAACTTCTCAATGAGAAACACCAGGGCTGAAGGTATTGAAACAAAAGAAGACCACATAAGATAAAAAATTAGAAAATTCGAGTGCATACCTTAGTGAGTTCTGGGTCTGGGCTTTTAGCCAGTAATGATACTTCAGTCCTCACATCATGATTCTCAGTTAACTCAGCTTCAAAATCCTCATCAAATGCAACTAGTGGAGAAAAAGAAAGTCATATTTGAAGTGGTTTTTGTATAATAAAGGAAAACCAGAAAATATGAACTAGCATGACTCACCAGAGCCATAAAGTGTTAGCAGCTTTAGCTCCTTTATGTAGTACTTTATGGTTCTAGGATTTGAAAACCAGAGCCCTGTTAAATGTAAAGAAGCAAGACGAATTGTACGGGGACTTTTTGTTCCTTCCTGAAGAAGTTTTTCAACAAACTGCAGAATTGACATTAACTAGTAAGTTGGTGCTACAATTATGATAATGATAACAGTTCTATAGTTCATTAGTGCAAAGTGCAAACAATAAAAAATAATAATAACCACCAACAAAACTTTCATGTGTATTCTTGGGTTAATGTACACATACACTATGGCTTTAAGGTAGTGTTTGGGTTACTTTCCCACAGCGCTTTTTCACACAACACCTCATAAAAGTATTAATTTATTATGATTAAATTAATTTAATTGATATCATGTATAATTTAGTTGTCATATTAATATTTAAGACTCTTTTTAAAGTAATTATCAAATAATAACATAATTTTTATTATAGTAAAATACTGAAAAAGCCAAAGTCACAGCACTTCACAGCAATCCCAAACATTAGCTAAGTCAACATGTATGCATGCACCCACATACATACAGACAAAAGGAGAGGAGAGGGAGGAGGATAGAGGAAACATACCCACTTCAGAGGCCCAGATTCACCATTCATCATATGCATATTGTCATCACTAAGCAGTGAAGGATGCAAGACAGAAGACAAAAGAGCTGCAATAGGTGCAACCCTCCGTTTGTTGCAGCTGACATGCAATATCCAGCAGGAGTGAACCAATTGCCAAATCATCTGCATTGAATCACAAGATAATATTGAATCATTAGGCATTTCATATAAACAAAAACAACAAAGAATACAAAGGCAAAAGTTATGGATGGTAATATCCTTCTGGGCATTCTCCTTTATTTTTCTTGTATCTTCAATAACAATAACATGTTTAAATTACATGAACGAAAAGAAACAAAACCCAAGAAAATTTACACAACTGCATGAAGAACCTGTTTGTCTTGTGTGCCTACACCACTGTATGAAGAAACAGCTGAATACAATCTTCCTGAAGAAAGTAGCTCCAAGGCCAATCTGACAGCTCTCAGCATAGGTAACGCAGAATCTTCCCCAGCATTCTCAAGACTTAAAGTTATTTAGATAAAGATGGTGAGCGAAAATATCTCAAAGTTGGTATTATGTCTATATAATAAAGATGCTTCAGCTAAAAGCCAACTGAACATTAGAGAAAGAAATACTTTGAAAAGTATAAATGTGTATTTATATGTCTGTAGACATTTAATAAACCACTAGTAAAACATTTATATTTCTGCTGATCAAATAAACATCTAGAATTCTATTCAGAAACAAAAACAAAATCTGGCAATAAATTATCATCCTAACAATGACCAAATCTCAAGTACCCTCTCATTAGAAGACGGATATCATTAAAGACGCACCCAAAACAAAGTGAAAATAGCAGTATTGTCAACTGTTCCTACCTCTCAACAGTATCAATAAGAATGTTCCTGACGGCAACATCTGAGAAGAAAAAGCTCCCATCTTCTAAGTGAATCCCATTTTCAAAGGCATAGAGAGGTATAGACAACAGAGATTCAATGCAAAGCCACTGTACCAATCACAAAGATCAATTGGAATCTTTCAAAAATCAATGTGCCAGGCTTATGTAGAAAGGTTGATCAAAGTATGATAAGCATATTGTTTCCGGGTTTTTATCCTATAAAATTAAAGATTTTCATTTAAATATTTTGTAGAATTAAAAAAGAGCTTGCATACAATTTGAAAAATTTTTAAATTGAAGAATGAACAAACTGAAAAAGAGGTACCGCGAAAAAACTAAGATGAAATCAGAGCTTTTACTTTTCAAACTATTCTTAAAATTTATATGAAAGGCAAGGCATGGCTCTCTGTCTTAAATACCCATTCCACAGCTATGGCAGAATTCACCCCAAATCCTTGGTATAAATGTCAAATAATTAAAATGAGATATCAGATAAGTGCTCGCATTTTCTGGACAATATAACAAGTTGTATGGATTTCACACTTGAAAATTATTTAATGAAGCTTTTGGTTAGTATTCTCCCAAAAGAGGTTATTGAGATTTTCAACCAAGGCAGACATAGACAGGACACTATAGCAAAATAGGATGAACATGGCCATTTAGGATACAAGAAGGTGAAAAAACAAAATTTATATGTTCCAAAAAAAAAAAACAGAAATAAAAAAAAAATAGCAGAGAAGTAACACCTTCCACTTAAGCAAAA